CATATAAATTAAGTTTTAATTCAAGGATTTACTTAATAATTTTGTCATTTTATAGGTAATAGCTATTGGATAAAGTTTTGACAATTGCTTTTTTTTTTCAGCGATTTACTTTTTTTTTATTGAACTTTCTGAAGAATTCCTCATAGCGAACGTTTTAATTTTAATATATAAATAATAAATCTCATGTGAGGATATTCGTTTACGTTAATCTCAGAAATTGTTTAAAAAATGTAATAAAATTTTGTAAATGTGTATTGTTTACACTTAAGGTAGCAAGGTGACGTCTGCGACTCAAATAAGACGTCAATTTTAGATTATTTTAGGGTCGGTAACTGAAAAACGACGTTAATACGACGACCATATATATATATAGGTCGTCATATTGTTTGGTAAGGAAAATGCGGGAACTCATGGGGGTACCATGGGCGTCATAATATAAACTACTGTGACGTCCATGGATTTTCTAATGAAGTTATTCTTATCTATTGGTGACGTAATCATCATGGTGTAAGTCCATCGATGGAATGATGATTTATTTATTTATTTAAACTTTAATGCACAGTAAAATTCTATGTACATTATATATATATATATATATATTTTATGATGTGTGAAAATGGTATGGTACCCCCGCCTGCGCTAACGGGATACGCGGAATTCAACAGGAATTAACCATGATAGTTTCCAGGGAAAACCGCGAGGAGGTCAACCTGGTTGGGTATATTGCTAGCAATAGGATTCTCAGTCTCCATTACTAACAATCCCTTTCCCCTCACATTATATATATTTGTTTTAATTTAAAATCGATTATAACACAGTAAAGCGGTAGCTTCATTGTACAATGAGTCCTAAGTTTAATTCTCGGCTGGGTCAGTTTGAAAAACGAACTTCAGTCATTTGTCTCGTGTTTGGGCGTTTTGTTTTGAGCCTTTGAATATTTTATGGCTGGTCCCTCAAAACAAAAAAAAAACATTCTAGTTTGAGAACCAAGTGATTGTTGGTAAAGTGATTGTGTAAATAAAAGAAATGAAATGAAACAAAATGAAATGAAGCGAAATGAAACGAAATGAAACGAAATGAAACAAAATGAAACGAAATGAAACGAAATGAAACGAAATGAAACGAAATGAAACTAAATGAAACGAAATGAAACGAAATTAAATGAAATGATCGTTGCGCGAGTTCGACTCGCACTTGACCACCTTTTTTTTAATAAAAAATGACTAGTTTTTTCACGATTGAAGTCGGTTTTTTTTTAATACATTCTTAATTTGAATACTTTATTATAATTCTAATAATAATACGTATAACAGTTGATTAGTATCATTATCAACCGACTGCGATGAATAATGTGGTCGTGTGTTTGACACTAACGGGCAGCGTTTGGCTAACATCCAGACATATGCCGATACAGCTCGGCCAATGTAAATTCATTATTATTTATTGTATAATAATTAAAGTCATACTGTACAGTTAGAATAGAATAAAACAGGTTAGAATAGAAAAATATTGTTAGAAAAATATAGTAATATTACCAGAGGGAGACTTTGTACAAAAGTCGATTGCTTGTGTACCCCTGTCCCATTCGTGTTTCAACCGTGAAGCAGTTGTGTTTGCATGGCTGTGTTTCGGTTTGAAGGCTGGGATATGGCGTGAATTTACTGGGTACAGAGGAATAACACCCGAGTCCTCAGGAATGGCAACGCACAGACGAAATTGGGCGAAAATGGTATAATTGCAATGCGTGTTACAAAAATGTGCTTTTTATGTTAATTATACAATAATTAACTCAATTAGTGATATAAATAAACTTTATTTATAGTTCTAAGATATTTTCTTTTTTTTTATCTTTACCCAAGATCGTTATAGGGTAGGCAGTGAGAAACAAGAACTAATAAATTCTCTCTACGACTTGGACCTTTTTTTATATATTTCTTGTCTATAATTTTTTTCTAAGATCTGTTACTTTTCTACTATTGTAGGTACGTATGTTTCATACTGTCCCCGTAACTTCCATCTAATGTCATTTTAACATGGAACCACTCTACAGTAAACTCTATCGTTAATTTTTAACTTTCGCGTTATTTATACATATTTTAAATACACTATCGAAACTTAACGGGATAAAAAAAAATTCTGAATAATTTTTAAATTTTTTTATACAACTTAGAATGACAAACAAGCTGACGGCCCACCTGATGTAAAGTGGTAACCGTCGCCTATAGACATGAGCAGTACCATGGACATAACAGAGTATACTGTTTCGCCCATAATACCCCCCATGCGTTGCCATTCCTGAGGACTTAGGTGTTATTCCTCTGTACCCTGTAAATTCATGCCAAATAGTGTATTTAAAATAAAATTTATTGATTGCAAAAATAATTATTTAAGCTGTACAACATACGAAATTCACAAAAAAAAAGTCGAATCAAGAAGCTCCTCGCTTTGAAAATTGCTTAAGAAGAAAGTTCCTAGTTTTTCAAACTAACCGTCAAAAAACGTCACAAAAGTCTCTGAAGATTATCGAAATTGATGTCTGTAAATCTAATTCCACAAATCAAGTGAAGCGTCAAATAAGTGCTTAACTATTCTATGTAATTCAATAATTGAATCCAAAACCAGCGGCCTCTCCCGTCTGTGCGGTCAGGAATACTAATGACACGAGAATTGAACCGGCTACCATTAGTTACACCTCAACCCACTATAATCGTTGTAACCCGTCCTCTATACCCGCAAACTGACTCGGTATTTATTTACACCGTAGCGTTACAATATATTTATAAAAATAAAAAAAATAAAAAACTCGTCGAATTTAATACTTTAAAAATCGATCATATAAGAAAAAAAAAAGTCAAAAATCGATTATTCATCGGCAGAGGCCTAGAGACAGCACTGAATTTATTTTTATGAAATTAGAAATTAAGTCTGTGCAACCAAAAAGTATCAACATAAAAAATAATATAATAATGTACTATTATTTATATGCCTTTTTTATGCAATTTAGAATGATAGCATACAAGCTTACGGCCTACTTGATGGAAAGCAGCAACCGTCGCTTATAAATATGTATAGTACTATGGACGTAATAGAATGTATTGTGTCGCCCATGATACCCTTCATGCGTTGCCATTCTGGAGGACTAAAATATACCCTTTTTGTACCCTTTTTTACCCTTTAATTTCATCGCCATATCTTACTTTTCAAATCGATATACATTCATTCAAACACAACTGCTTTATTATAGAAACACGAATGGGACAGAGGCGCCCAAGCAGACAGTCTTCTTCCGGTAAATTTTGCTCTTTTATTGCGCTTTTTTTGATAACTCAATTAATTTGCCATGTTTTTATTACCTGTTTAAATTAAATAGCTTTGCCACTATTATACGTGGCGAATAAGGATGTACATCTTTGATTCGTTCGTTTACTCAGTGACGTAATTCTATTGGTATTTCGTTTCTATGTTTTAAGATCTTTTTATCTGATAATTAATTTAAATACTACTTTGTAAGAAAATATACAGTCTATTGTTTTAGTTTGCGAATTATGTACTATGTATATTTACAATGATTCATACTGTATTTGTTCATAGTATTTCTGTGACATTCTCTTATTACGCTACGGTGTGATATAGTGACCATTACCACAGATAACTACTATAGACTATTTGAGCATTAATTACCAAGTTTAGATTCCGCAGCACGCTTCACCGCTCCAGTGTTGTGCGGAGGCAGATCGTATCGTTTGTTTGAATTGTAGGCAATTGTCAACAAAAAGCTTTTGTTATCACATTCGTAATCTCTCTTGTGACGAAATAAATTGTTGTTTTAAAACTCGTCCAAAATTAGACAGGCTAAGAGCATGACCCATACAGCCTAGTTATAAATTACAATTGGTTTTTCAATGAGGTGGTAATTATTTCATAGATCTTTGTAGGAGTTGATAATGCCAAGATGCATGGGGGAAGGGGATTGTTAGTAATGGGGTCAAATAGCCCTATTACTAGCAATATACCCTGTCAGGTCGACCTTCACGTGGTTCCCTCTGGAAACCACCGTGACTAATTCTAGTTTAATTCGTCAGGATGGGCTAGCTGACCTACTTTCATCTTCATCTGGCATCTATCACTGGTACCCCGCCAGTGTATACCGATAGTGCAGACAGGGTTACCATATCATAAACACTCATTAAAAAAATACCAAGATGCAGTAAACACCGTTAATATATTTCTACTCAAGCGAAAAATTTTTATAATATATAATGCACCTCCCACTAGATGGAGTGCATTGCAGGGAGTCAGTGGATGTAGGTGGTTCAGGACCGTTTCTTACAGCAGACTATGAAGGAGGCCTATGTCCAGCTATTTTATGGCTGCAATGATGATGATGAAATGTTCTTTTTATTTTTACTTGCCCTTCATGTATAGGTAGAGGTGAAACACGTTTTGCAAAACATGCGTGGAAGAAATGGCAGTCGGAAGTTGGTGTCGCATATGGAAGGTTGTACAACTTCTAGTAATAATAATAGTAGCTAATCTCCGTGTGTTGGCAGTCGCACACATACTAATGGTGGCGGAATTAAACACAATAATTCTAATAATTTTTTTTTTATACAACTTAGAATGGCAAACAAGCTGACGGTCCACCTGATGGAGAGTGGTAACCGTCGCCTATAGACATGAGCAGTACCATGGACATAACAGAATATACTGTTTCGACCATGATACCCCCCATGCGTTGTCATTCATGAGGACTCAGGTGTTATTCCACTGTACCCTGTAAATTCACGCCATATCACACCCGTCAAATCGAAACACAGCCATGCAAATACAACTGCTTTACGGTTGAAACACAAATAGGACAGAGGTACCCAAGCAATCGACTTTTATACAAAGTCTCCCTTTGCCACCTCAGTGGTCTATTCTATGCCGGGACCACACGGAATGATTCTCAATTGTATGAGGATTATTTAATTAGGAAATAAATAAATAAATTCACTTACGCAGTAGGTCTTGTAAGTCCGTAGTATCTGTGTTCAGTGTAGAATAGACCGGCGTGGAGAATGCTGGCCAACTCGTGGGCCAACCCTCCCCCCACCCACCCGGGATAGATGGCCCACTCACCGCCGACGAAGACGACTATTTCGGGGATATGAGAGGCATTTACAAACTCATTGTTGTAGTAGAACCGCTGAAAATATATATAAAATAAATAAATAAATAATATTTTACTATTTTACTAATATTAACTATTCTTTTTACTTCTTTTTACTCACTATTTGGTAAGTGTGGATTTCAGAAGCAAGAAAACCAATTAAATAGGTCATTCTTGATTATTATATTATATATGTTGAATTCGTCACGATGGGCTAATTGACCTGCTTCATCCTCACCTATCATCCCTCACTGGTGCCCCACCAGTGTATACCGATAGCACAGCATAGCACAGGGCTGCCATTCCATTATCATCCATTAAAAAAAAAAAGACTCGAGAAAAATTATTTCCTAAATTGGGTGAACTAGCATCGAATTAATTTACTCTAAGAAACACCTATGCTTAAACGATTAAATGGATTTTTTTTTTGATGGGTGAAAATGGTATGGTAACCCCGCACTGCGCTAACGGGATACGCTGGCGGAGCACCAGTGAAGGGTGATAGATGAGAATGAAAACAGGCCAGTTAGCCCATCATGATGAATTCATCAGGAATTAACCATGATAGTTTCCAGGGGGAACCGCGAGGAGGTCGACCTGGTTGGGTATATTGCTAGCAATGGGATTCTCAGTCTACATTACTAACGATTCCTTTTCCCCCGATTAAATGCATTTAAATGCAATTTCGTATATAAATGGACCTCACCTTAAATTAATATAATTCGTTTTTAATTTAACCTACGCGGGCTAATGAGATTAAGTTTGTAGTTAACTTCAACTTACTATAATATTATAAACTAGCGGCCCGACCCGGCGTCGCACGGGTTTTTAACATTTTCCTTCACTGCTCTGCTCCTATTGATCGTAGCGTGATGAAAAGTATACTATAACCTGCCCGGGAGTATGAAGAATAATTGTACCAAGTTTCGTTAAAATCCATCGAGTAGTTTTTGTTTCTATAACGAACATACAGACAGACAGACAAAAATTTTACTGATTAAATTTTGGCATCAGTATCGATCACTAATCACCCGCTGATAGTTATTTTGTAAATATATTTCATGTACAGAATTGACCTCTCTACAGATTTATTATAAGTATAGATGTGAAAGTTTTTTTTTTTTATACCACTAAGGTGGCAAACAAGTATACGGCCCACCTGTTGGTAAGTGGATACCGTAGCCCATGAACACCTGCAATACCAGTAAAAGTGAGATTGTTTGTTCGTTTGTTACCTGAAAACGACTTAACTGATCACTATGAAATTTCGTATAGACTTTATGGGTTGGAAAAGGATATAGGCTGTTTTTTATCCCGGTCACGTGGACGAAGTCACGAGTAAAAGCTAGTAAGATAAATGTGAAAGTGAGATTGTTTGTCTGTTACCTCTTACCACCTCAACGGTGTAAACGCTAGGGTAAAAGCTAGTAAGCGTATAATTACCATTTGAAATGTTTCATTGTTGTGCGCCATAAAATGGTTTAATCTAACAGTAAACCAGTGTTCTGTTATATTATTTCTAGTGGTGACAGGCGGCGGCGGTGGCTCGAAGGTCCTCAGCCCGAAAGAGGGCGCTACCAGCAGCGGTACAAGAATATGCCCTGAAAAGTACATAAAAAGTGTGCCATTCATTAAAAATCGCCTTAAAATTACGGATATGCCAGTAAAATATGGTATCCATAGCTACTAATACTATAAATGTAAAGGTTTGTTTGTTTGTTGCGTCTTGACACCCTAATGGCTAATTAATAACTATGAAAATATAAATGTATTATAAGGGATGGAGATATACTTTTATTATATATTCTATTTTTTTTTGCCAATTTCATATGTAAGGGCCTAATATTTATAAGATTGAGTGTAAAAAAAAAATTAAAATCGTTTTAAAACTAACAATATTAGGTAGGATAATTGTCTATTGAAAAATGCAATGTACGGACTGTCATGTCCCGTGTATTTATTTATTTATTTTACACTTTAATCCTTCAATTACAATGACAATAAATACAGTTAATTTACTTAGAAAGTGTACTTTTTTATATTATTAAATATTGTAATAACTACTCTGTACTCTTGTGCAATTAAAAAAAAAGTTGATAAAGCAGGAGGGTGTGACCCTGTGCTAAGAACAAGGAATTACATAGAAGGAATGATAAAATAAAAACTGTGAATCATATGGTTGCCTCCTTTCTTCTTATGCAAATATAATTAGTGAAAAGAGGACGAAACATTGGTACACCATCAGTTGCTATTTTTCTCAATTCATAGCAGGCTAGTGTATAGATAATGTTTGATATGTTAATTATTTATCAGTGACAAATTTTACATTACTAGATTATATATTCGACACAATTAATGTAACTAGTATGCAAGCAGGTTGTGTCCGAATTTGGTAGGTTTATACAGCCGTATAACATTTTCTATACATTAGCCTGTTATGAATTGACAATTTTATCACTATGTAAGAAGGAGTGATTTAATTTCTTGTTCTTAGGCCACATGCCTCATTAGATTAAAAATTAAGACCTGTGAAATCATAGACTTATTACAATGTACTTACGTACTATGTAAGGGTGAAATATGGACAATTTAAGATTAATGTTAAGAGAAATGAGTAAATAATTAAAATAGGGGAAAAAGGGATTGTTAGCAATAAAGTTTGACAGCCCCATTGCTAGCAATATGCCCTATTAGGTCGACCTCCACGTGGTTCCCCTTTGAAACCATCGTGAACAATTCTTGTTGAATTCGTCCCTATGGGCTAACTGACCTGCTTCATTCTCATCTATCATCCTTCACTGGTGCCCTGCCGGTGTATACCGATAGCGCAGGTGGGGTTACCATTCCATTATCACCCATTAAAAAAAGTGATAGCAAGAAAAGGACAGATATTGAAAACAAAAAAGATAGTAAAAAAAGTGGAAAAATATGATGGCCAGTACGCCACTAGTGTTAACCGCAGTGGCGACATCCAAATAATGCCTATTGATTCCAATTATTTTTAAATATTATAAAATAAAAAAAACACTTACACATGTTTAATATACAATCCACAATATTAAAGAAATATCGACACCAATATAAAATATGTAAGACGTAGGTAAACTAATTAAAATGACAATAATGTAGATAATTTACTGATATCTAAGATTATTCTTAAGTTATATGATATAATTCAGTGTACTACGATTCTATTCGACTTTACTTATATATACATATGCTTGTTTTTATTTTAGATGTTTTTATTTCACTTGTAATGTATGTTTGTTTACAATTTCAACGTTAGATCAAATCTTGCAAGTCAAATTAGAAACACTTTTTAATATCCGATCAAGCTGGAATTTCGCATACATCTTTAGTTCAATATATTGTATTTTTTGTGTATTACATAAAAAAATTAATTATTTAATTCCTCCATTTTAAAGTTAGTGTTAAACTACATATTTTGTTAATCTAGGAACTGAACCAAGCACTATTATTATTGTAATAGGTAATTATTTTAATAAGGTGTAATAGGGGAAAGGAATTTTATTATTAAAAGTTTCATATATTTTAGTCGAGGAAGCTCAACTAGTTTCGGGAGCATCCGGGACACTTAATCATGAGCGGCCGTGACGCGAGATCGATTGTTAATGTGGTTAAACAATCCCATTGCTAGCAATATACTCTATTAAGTTGACTTCCACGCGGTTTTCCTTTAAAGCCATCGTGGTTAATTAGTAATGAATCGCGTCATGACGGGCCAACAGAGCTGCTTTCATCCTCACCTATCATCTCTCACTTGTGCCTCGCCAGCTTATACCGATAGCACAGCATAGCACAGGCGGGGTTACCATTTCCTTTACATAAAAAAAAAAGTAAGAAAGTATTATGTTTATAAACAAACATAACTACATTACGATTTCTTTAACAACATAGATAAAGACATTACATTATCTTTTAGATTAAGTGTCTAGATACTGGGCATTTTATAGCCTATTTTCTAATCTGAAGAAAAACATAAATAACTATTCTAGTATTAGGTTTTTAATAGATAAATTAATAAAAAAAAAATAATTTTGTTTTGGTTATATGCAGGCGTAATCTATGTAACTACTGCAACTTAAATAGGTATAAATTCTTTTCACGTTTCATACAAACTGAGCGGTCTCGTGACTGATTTAGTATGAAAGATTTAAGGTATGTATAGTCTATTTTAATTATGAGAATATAAACAAATGTATAATAAAATAATTACTTCTACGGTCTCTGTCCAATAGTAAGAAAAAAAAAGTCTACAGAACGCTTCGGTTTGTTACTAAGAAGTTTTATTCTTTCAAGTACAATTCTTAATCTATGGTAGACTTTTAATTGATTGATTTTATCTATTGACCACTTATCAGATAAGATGTATTAGAGGATAAAGATAAATCGGCCGCCATTTTGAAATTGAAAATATCATATACAAGTGGTATCAAACATTGTAACAATTTTATGCTCAATTCCTTGATTATGTCATTTGTAGTTTGTGATAGCTATAAATCATTTAATATTTGCTAATAATGTTAGTATTTTTGACATGTTTTGTATTGTCTAAATCAATTAGCGTGAGTGAGAGAATATAATTAGTGACTCTGCTGCCTCTGCTGAGCAATTTAGTAACTAAAATTTCTATATTGAATAATTTCCATCAATTGCTATTTGATTGTTAGTGGCGCATTTATTTATTAGACGAAAGTGCATTATGAAGAGCATAATGATAGTTTATCTGGATAGACAAAAGCAGTAAATGGGACAGCCTGATTTTCTGTAAAGAAATTAAATATTTTTTTTAGAAATTTAATTCTGGTTTTTTTTCTATTTGTTCTTTCGATTAATGCGACCAAGGAAGCTTATGGCCGAGGAATGGGTGGCGGCGTCCCTCTTAACACATACTTTCGAATAGTTGTTTTATGGTTCTACCGCTTATTCGGAATGCAATTTCCGCAGACTAGAGTATGCAAGTAACTCAACTGCAGCTTTTCGAAACAAAAGTTGTTTTTACAATTATAACTTTGTGTCCATACATATTATTAGGTTTGGAAGCGGTTAGAAATGCGGAGTATCTCATTTTTAGAGGGGGGGTGTTAATAATAATGGAGTTTTAGTAATGGAGTCTAACGATCTTACTGATAGCAAGCAATAATAGTGTCAAGTCGACCTTCACGTGGTCGCTCCACTGGAAACCATCTATTTTATTTATTTATTTATTTATTCACTAGTACATATATGTGTATATAGCGCACTTAATGCTAAAAGCATTCTCTCCCAGTCAACTGTAGGGAAGTGTCAGAATACTCGAATGCGGTACTAGTAATTATTGATATACATACATACTAAACTTACATATATAAACGAATAAATATATATGAATAACAAATATACTTACACATATATGACATATACTATATTATAAACGAAAATGAGAATAATAGATAGCACTTATCGGATAAAGCATAAAAGTTAGCATTGTTAGTGTCCTAGCTGTATTATGCTTTACTTTAAAATATTTTAAAATTTATGAATTTATTTATTTTCTCCACAAATCTTACAGAAAGTTACGTGAAAAAAAATACAACTATATATGTATGTATAATTAAAATGGTAAAACTTGTAGGAGACTGGACCCTAAACTAGATCAGAGATCTGTATTTTATTATTTTATAATTTATGAAATAAAAGACTTGTTGACAGCTAGAAAACGAATAAGTTTTTATTTTTTTATTAAATTCAAATAATTATAAATACCAAAAAGTTTTCATGTGTTAACAAGCATAAACGTTTTTTTTTTAAAGATGGTTTAGCCAGTTAAACTATCGTGGCTAATTCTAAGTAATCTTGATTTCATCTATAGAATATTTAGCATAAACTTTTTTTTTAAACATGGTTTAGCCAGTTAAACCATTGTGGCTAATTCCAAGTAACTTGATCTCATCTGTTACCATTCATTCAATGATAAAAGGAACTACTACATTATTACAAAGGGTACTATTCCATTTTCATTCTGCAAAAAAAAAATAACCAAAGAAAAGTTAAGTACCTTACGATGTTATATTTCTAAAAGAACATATGTAATTCTATTTAGAAACATTCTAGTATTCGCCTCTTTGCTCAAACAAGTCATCCGCGACTGCAAATATTGTAGCAAGAAATAAGTGTGCCTACTTATAAGCAAACACCAGAGGGAGACTTTTTACAAAAGTCGATTGCTTGGGTACCTCTGTCCCATTCGTGTTTCAACCGTGAAGCAGTTGTGTTTGCTTGACTGTGTTTCGGTTTGAAGGGTGGGATATGGCGTGAATTTACTGGGTACAGAGGAATAACACCTGAGTCCTCAGGAATGCCATTCTAAGTTGTATAAAAAAAAAATTACAGTGTATTTTAACTGACAGAGTTGAAATATGATTCATAGATGGACAAAAAGACGTTTGGTTTTATTTACAATATTAGTGAGAACGTATAAAAGTTGATATATTTTTATTTATGTTACTTAGAATGGCAAACAAGTGACGACCCACCTGATGGAAAGTGGAAAACGTCGCCTATAGACCTGAGCAGTATCATGGACATAACAGAGTATACTGTTTCGCCCATGATACCCCCCATGCGTAGCCATTCCTGAGGACTCAGGTGTTATTCCTCTGTACCCTGTAAATTCACGCCATATCACACCCTTCAAACCGAAACACAGCCATGCAAACACAACTGCTTATAAATAGGTATTTTCATAGTTGTCTAAATATTTTATTCATCACCATCCCCATATCAGCCTTTCACTGTCCACTGTTGAATATAAGCCTCCCCCGTGGATGGTTTTGCCAGTAGTTGCCATACCTGGCAGGCTTGGCAACCGCAGTTAGGATTTAGAGATGTTTTACGTGGGACGCTAATATTTTTTGAAATTTTATCTGTCAGTTATCGATATCAAGCAAAAAATACTGGATCAAATTGGATTCGATTTTCGCAATTGTATTCCTGAAGGTCTAATTTAAAATCCGAATGTTTCATATTGAAGCGCCATCTAGTAGCGGCCAATGTCATTGGTTTTCCTACTTCTGAAAACCACAAGTAAGAAGTAGAGCGCAAAAAGTCATTACTATATATAATAATATTATGAAATATCAAGTCGGTAACATAACATACCTCTCTAGTAGGTATGCAGTGTGTACCTGCACCTACACAGATGCATGCATGATGACAAAAGTGGCGCATGCGCACACCCATTGTTCTTTAATGACCACCTGTCACAAAACATGGCGGACACCGGTCACGTGCAAAATTGTATGAATCAGCTGCACGTGTCCACGAAGAATATAAAGCCACTGGATAATTGTAGGCATAGATTTTTTAATACTTTTCCCGAAGGAAGACTTTGTATAAATTGTCTAATTCAACATGGCACGGCCTTTTAAATTTTTATTTCAATGTGTGTGTGACTATATACAGACGTGATGCTCTGTTTGTGTTTGTGAGGAACCGTCTTCAATTGCGGTTCGGAGGAGTGTTATATTCCTTAGACAATACTTTTACTCACACATTTTTAATTCGTTGGATTTTGGAGGGTCGTGCCATGTTAGATTTTTTTTTACTGGGTGAAAATGGTATGGTAACCCTGCCTGCGCTAACGGGATACGCTGGCGGAGTACCAGTGAAGGGAGATAGATGAGAATGAAAACAGGCCAGTTAGCCCATCATGATGAATCCATCAGGAATTAAGCATGATAGTTTCCAGGGAGAACCGCGAGGAGGTCGACCTGGTTGGGTATATTGCTAGCAATAGGATTCTCAGTCTCCATTACTAACAATCCCTTTCCCCCCGCCATGTTAGATTGCATTGTATTAATATTACAGTAATTTTTAAGATTCACTATTTATATAATTAAACTTTTTGCAAAAGTAACCACAATACACCCTGTCAGGTAGACTTCCTCGCTGTTTCCCCTGGAAACCATCGTGTTCTATTCCAAGTGAATTCATTACGATAGGCTAAATGCCTTTTCATCTTTACCTGTCATCCTTTACTGGTGCCCCGTCAGCGTATACCGTTAGCGCAGGCGAGTTTACCATGCCATTTTTTTAAATGGATGATAATGGAATGGTAACCCCACCCACGCTATCGGTATACACCGGCGGAG